ATCTCACACGTATAAAAAGTCATGATCAAGTGAATACTACCCATGAGCTCTGCCCATTTCAGGACATTTGCAGTTCAATTACATGCCAAAGAAGATTCCCATAACAAGTCAGCCGGCACGTACAAAGCAAAGAAACCTGCCACGATGCCAATTGTCGTTCCCTTCCTTAAGGGACCTGTTGAGAGCATGTCAGGTACTATGTGGACCTAGTTCCCAGCTAAGCTTCTCCTTCCATTCTCTGAGCACTCTGTCGTACCTACCCTTACTGTAAGTTAATCCAACAGGAAGAGCTGTACACTTTAGACATCAGGATCTAACCAGAAAAACACTTGCCTAAAAATGCGTAAGAATCCAATTATGTTCATTCACATCACAGCAATCCCAGAGAGAGAATCCACGTCAGAGCTCAGTTTCAAGTTACACATACATATGTACACATTGGCTTTACACCACACATATATTTTTATCCCCTGCCCTCCATGCTACAGCTCCCGAGGGAAAGTCAGCTAATGAAAACACTTACCATCAAGAAATCCATCAAAATATCTAATTGCCCATGTTTAGAACTCGGCTCTTCTGCAGTTAGTTGTTTCTCGTGTGCTGCCTGCAGCACGTCCGCAGACGGTTCATAGCCACTCGTTCCTGTGCCAGCACTGTCTTTTAGATGAAACGGTTCTTTATTCCTCCTTATTTTTCACTTCCCGCCAGTCTCCGCGTCAGACTGCATGTAATGCAGCGGTTCAATGAATAGCCCAAACACCATGAGCGAACATGGCAAGCAAGAAGAGAAGTCCCAGACTGCCACTTTCAAGAGATTTTTTTCCACCCCTTGGCTGCTCCTCTCCTTGTGCCGTGTAGCTGTCTTTTGCAGATGTCTGCCCGGCAAACAGAAGCCATGAAACAACCAAGCCACTGAAAACCAAGCTTACTTTTTGGTCACCTCAGTTCCCTGTTTCAGCTCGCTGCACAACTGCCTCTCCTTTCCAGTTGTGAAGAGGCAGGCGAGGAAGAAGGGAGAACATTCCCATATTCGTGGAGACAGCTTACGGTCTTCACATGAATACAGCCTCAAAATTCTTTATTTTAGTCTACCTAGCCAAGCTCTTATACATTCTCCCCACAACCAGACTGCCCAAGGACTATCTCATCCATTCCTGGACGTGACACAGAGAATCCAAATCCATTTTTCTGAAAGGATCTGATTCTTCAAGTTGCTCATCATAGTTAGATTTTACTGTGCAAACGATGCCAGCACCACTTAGGTTGGCCCAAATTAAGTCTTGGGAAACACCCCCTGCAAGCACCTTTCAGACCAGCAGTTCCTCTTCTGACACAAATCTGTTGCTGCTTCCTCTCCTTCATACTGTTTCTTACCCAAGTACCAGCTCCTGTACTAAATCTCCTGTACCTCCACCTTGAAAAAAAACCCGACAACTTTTTTGTGGTGCTGTGTGATCCATTACGAAGTTCCAGGCAGATTTGAGCTACACTGATTCTTTTACAGTGAAAATAAATCAATCATTTATTCTTACAAAAGATGCAGGCCAGTCAGGCATGATCTATCTTTAGTGAATGCCCGTAGGACTCAGTCTACTTAGTCTCACGTTGTTAATTAATTCTTTCCTTCAAAAATTCTCTAGAGCCTTGCATGCTACTGATGTCAAACTCATTAGGCTATAGCTGTGCAGCTCCCTGCCTCCAGTTCTTTTAGGAAGCAATTTTTATAGTCCAGTAACAAATCTGCTAACTCAGAGGTAGAATATATTTAAAATTAGATCTCTGGTTAAATTTCCCTTAGGAAGCCTGTCTTTTTTGTGGTTCTACTAACTGCCATTATATTCCTGTAGTTTTACTCCCTGTGACACAGCTACCCCCTCCCCTTCCCCAACCACCTTCCTCTCCAACCTGTCCGGTTCATTTCTTGAGATACTTAAAGAGACTTTGGTTCAGGGGTATTCTGACCCAATTTTTGACAACACCTAGCAGCAATACAAAATTCACTGCTACTAATTTATAGTTTGCATTTTTTTTTTTGGTCTTGGGTGGTTTCGGGTTTTTTTGCTTTG